TGTAATATGCTTACAAATAGATCAAGGCAGCGTAGTGGCAAGGCAAGCGAGTGATTCCCTTCAGGACCTGGGTTCGAATCCCAGGTCCCCCATTTTCTCAATGTTTTTATTCTTCAGGTGATCCAGTGCATATGCCTAGCTACAACATACCATGCGTCCTCGTCCATTCAATGGCCAGATGGCCTAAAGGCCAAATCTGATGGTTCCAAGCTGATGGTCTACATGGAGCCAAGTCAGTGCACAAACACCTGATCTCAAAAGTCAACCAGGGCCAGCACATATTGGGCCTCCCAATTGCTATCTACACCATTAAAACATGCCCATACTCCTCTTTCATAATCCTTTTTGTTTATTTATTTATTAATTTAATTGTTTTATTTAATTACTAACCAATTAAAATTCAGTTCTTTATAAAATAAAACCCCAAAAAATATTTTATTCAATTAAATTTTAACTTTCATTTTTTTTTATTAATAAATACTAATACATTAATTTAGGTTTTAAATTCTAGAATAATTCTAACCTATTTTGAAAATAATTAAAATTAACTAGACTTAATTAGGTTTTTACTATTTCAATTAATTTTTATTTTCTTTCTTAAAATAACAAAAATCCAAAAATATTTATTCTTTTATTAATTAATTAATTTAGTAATTAATTTAGGTTAATTTCTTTCTTAAAATAAAAACAAAAAAAAATGTCTTCTTTAAAGGGTCAAAACCCTAATCTCACGTCCGATTAAATTTTGCGCTGCAATTTATTTTCTTTTATCCAATAATGTACTTGCTCCCAGATTGTAATAGCTTAATATGACTTTTATTTATTTTTAATCGCTTTATTTATTTTTAAAGGGTTTGTCTTTGGCGATGTAAATACCCGACGCCTTGTAATTTAAATTCCGCATTTTATTTCCGCAAATTATAATTGTTAGATGTTTGATAATAGGGATGCATGACAAGACTGGATGTTTAACCTAAAATCAACTTAGATCACCCTTAACATGTACAAAGACAAAAATAACTGAAAACGATACACTCGTACATGCGCACTCTTAGGGTACACCCCACTTGGTTGCCTTCGTACGCGGTCATTAAGTATAGGTCGTTTTAGAGGTCGCCCTCTTGTCTAAAAGATCGTAGTCGCCTCGAAATGGTTGCCTCGGATATTGTTGCCTCAAAACAAATGATCTAAGACATTAGGGTTACCGCTAAGGCGTCCTAACATTGCTTTAGTGACTGTAAGTCCCGCATTCGAATTGACCCTCAAATTCCAACGATGATGCTACCTACTCATTAATAGTGGGATAGCATTGTCTAACGGAAATTAGCATAGAACGATTCCTTTTTCGAGTAGGTAGATGGTTATTAAATACTTGCTCTTTCAAAAAACAAATTTTTTTCACACTTACACTTTTCGAACAAAGTTTTCAAAAACACTTTATACACTCTCGAGGACAGAAGCAAGAGTTAAATCGAAGTTTCAAACAAAAAGTTTTTTTCAAAACCCACAAGCACAAAGAAAACAATTTTGAAAACAATTGAGCAAGTACCTAAGAGCCCGTGGATAACCACGGATAGAAAGGGTGTTAACACCTTCCCTTTCTATAATCTACCCCCCGAACCCGAGAAATATTTCGAAAAAGGAATTTTTCTGTGCTTTTTTTCCTTTCTTTGTTGGATAAAATAAAAGTCGGTGGTGACTCTTGCTTACCGCGACATTTTGCGAATACAAAATGCAAACCAGCATTCCAAAAAACAGTCAGTTCTTCCCACCGTATCACGCATTAGATCGATGTAACTTCCTTCATCGACGAGGACGCGATGTATGTCAAAGTTGGCCATCCTCGCTCTTATCAGTAGAGGAATGACCGAATTGGGGGGCCCTCCGGGGAGCTCTTCGAGATAAAAGGTGATAGGTTCTGACCTACCCTTCACCTTTTCAAAAGTCACCGTTTGAGGGGGGAGGGGGGGGGGGGGGGGCATGTCGACCAACTCGTCCAACTTCCTCTTGGCTGAATTTATGGTCAGGTCATTGAACCCTCCACTATTGATGACTATGGCGGAGGGAAAGTGCTCCCACCTGCTGTGCCTCGACAGCAATTCTTGCATGTGGTCGGGAACATAAAAGTCCTCAGGTCTTGTGACAGAGAAGGCTATTTGGATGGGGACCGACTCGTCAGATGGTTGGGCGTCCTCTTCTGCTTCTCTTGTCTCACGGGCATCGCGACGAGGAGCATCGTTTCGCCGGTACTGGGCGAGTCTCCCCCCTTTTATGAGGGTCTTGATGGCGTCCTTGAGGTGGACGCAGTCTTCAGTCAGATGGCCGTAGCTCCTGTGGTACTGACAATATTTGCTCTTGTCCACCCCGGGTTTGGCAGGAGCTGGTCGGGGATGCTTGACACTGCCATCTTTGAAGTCCGTACTTGCACACTCCGCTAAGATGCACTCGCGAGAATCCGTGAGCGGAGTGTACTCTATGAAACTCCCCGAAGGCCCCCTCTGTTCTCGGATGTCCCGGGGTTTGTCGTATTTTATTTTTTCCCCGATTCGTAGAGGAGGGATGGCCTCTTGGCGCAGGTTGTTGTTGGATCCACAATTCCTAGGGTCTAGGGCTCTGTTGGCCGCTTCCCTCTCCTTGTAGTCCATGTAGGCCCTGGCCTTCTCGAGGAGAGCATCAAACGTTTGGGATGGTTCGATGCCCACGACCTTCCTGAATTATGTGCAGGGGAGGAGGCCCCTCTCCAGCAGGTATCTCTTCATATGGTCCGTGCAAGGGACCTGGATGGCTTCTCGGTTGAAGCGGTTGATGAACTCTCTCAAGGTCTCATCCTGCCTCTGGACGATGGCCTCGAGTGCCACTTCGGTCTTCGGATGTCGCCGCGACGTAATGAATGAGCTTATGAACTGGTTCTTCAAGTTTCGCCACGAGGTAATTGACCCCGGGGCGAGACCTTTGTACCAGTCCATAGCTGCTTTCCTTAGGGTCGTGGGGAACAACCGACATTTGATGGGTCCCCCGATGTTGTGGTAGTGCAGCATGGCCTCGAACCCGTCTATGTGATCGACCGGGTCGACGACTCTGTCATACTCTTTCAAGTGTAGAGGCTTCTCCATGCCCGGGGGAATGGGCGCCTCCATGATAGCTTGTGATAGGGGACTGCGAGGGTCGTCCTCATCACTTTGTTCCGGGGAGAGGGACGGGGACCTGATGTATTGTCGGTCACGATGGCTCTGGTTGTGTTGGACGTTCCTCAAGCGATGTATTCGTTGATAGGTTCCTTTGTGTCTGTCTCCGGGAGGTCTTCGTTCTTGCCGTGAAGGGCCATGGTCGCGCCTTCTGGTCTCAATGAGTGGTTCTCTCTCCAAGGCGGGTCGCCGCCCGGGTGGTCGGGGCGACGGGTTTTGAGAGATGTCCCGGTCCTGTTTCCGTGAGGGATATCGGGGACGTTCCTCCATTCTTCGAGGAGGTGGGGATTGAGGCCTCTTGTGTCTCCTCATGGGCCTTCTGTCGTCCTCTAGTGCTCTCAGTTTTTCCCCTTGGGCAAAGATGAGGTAGTTGGTCTGGTTGATTGCCGCGAACAGTGCCCTAGTCGTGGCATCTGCCCCGATGGGGACAGGAACTTCATGCAATTGGGCGGCTAGATAGTTCGGGGGAACTGAATTATCTTCTTCGAGCCGAGGAGGGACTGATGAAGATGAAGCCGTGGCTCCGTCCCGATAGTTAGAGGGCCCGAGAACGGTGCCCCCGGGGAGCATGCTATGGCCGATGATGCTGGCGTTGTCGGGGCCGCCATTTTTGTCGGCGAGGTTGTTGTTAGCTTCAACGATGCGGACGTTCTGGTTGTCCTGAATTTGGTCAGCCATGAGGGTCGAGGATGGTTTTAGCTTTGGTCTTTGTAAGTTTGTAAGACGGGGAAGCTTAGTTTCCCACAGACGGCGCCACTGATCGTACCTGATCAGAATTGGACCGTCACAACTGGTTCGAACTGAATTTGAAGGAGGTGGTGGGGGATACCTGTAAGACACTCCGATGATAAAGTGAGAGACAGAATGAGCAGGCGAATTGTATGTAGGTGTGAATGAATGAATACCCGACCCTCTTGAAATAGAGGGTATTTATAGCCCCCAACGCTGGGCTAAGGTCCCTTTATTAGGCTGACCAAAACAGGCTCAACAAAGGGACTGCCAGGTTCTACGTGAGTAGTGGGGACCTGCACGTGGTCCCCTACCTGGATGATGCTCTCTGAAGAATAAGGAGGGTGAAGACGCGATCTTCTCGGGGGCCTGAGGACTCCGAAACATCCGGAGGGGTCAAGAGTCTGCCCTACGAGGAGGGTACTCGAGCAAGGCTCAGATTGGGATGTTCCTCGTCTGGGGCGTCTCTCGTCGGGGACGTCTCTCGTCGCGGACAGCGGCGAGCATGGTCGTATTAGTCCTATAGCCCGTGACTGGGTATGTTCGGAGAATCTAATGCCCAACATAGCACGTGGTACGGTTTGGATTGGGCCTTACTGGTGATTTGGGCCATGGGCAGGCCCAATCCAGAACAGATTCCGTTTCCTTTTACCTTTTTATTAATGCTTTTTTTTTTGCTATAGTTGAAGCTCTTCTTAATTGTGCTGCAATTAAGGTTTTTTGTTTATTTCTTTAACCATGAACGATTTTGATTATTATTCTTTTTTTGCGATTGAGTCATTAAGAATTTTTTATTCAATAATATATTGATTAAATTTCATTTCTTAAAGATAAATAAATGAAAAATTACACATATGATCAAAATATCTCTATAATTATCTATTTAATATTAAAATTTAACTAAACTTCGCTATATGATTTATTATGTAAAATTAATTTATTTTCATCTCATCCAAAAATTAATAGAAAGCATCACATGTACTATATGTTAGTCATAATGTTTTTCTAATTATATTATACCTTACATTGAGCATTTGATTATGAACGAAAACACATTAGTTTCCTTCTATCAAAAAAAGAAAAACAATGACAACTTTTTCTTTATGTTTATGTAAGTTTTGATATTATATTAACTATATTTGAACAGTTATTTATAATATATCACCCACAACAATATATACCAAAAGAAATTAAAAGTAAATTTGATAGATATATTGTTTTGTTTTATTTCCTAAATTAGACGACATATAATAGCTTGATGAATGACTCTGATAAATATGTTATATATTTTCTTTTTGTTTACAGAATTAAAGAAAGAAAAAAAAAGCAAAAGAAAAACTAAATAAAAACGTATATTATAAAGCAAAATAGTAAAATATGAACAAGTAGAAACATAATTAATCTTACGATATTTTTCATTTATTTAAAAGAAAAAGAAGGCTTACTTAGCTAATTCATTTACCTAAAGCAATTTGAAATTTTAAAATAATAATAATTAAATATTACTTCAAATAGTAAAAAAAATCCCTTCGTTCAATATAAAGATCAACTATTTTAAAAATCAAATCTTATCTTATATATAATTAATTAGTAACACAACTAAGTGCTGGAAGTTAAATGTTAGTCAAAACTAGATTAATCATAACTACTTGAGTTTGATCTTTAATTAAAACAATTATTAACTTGCTTATGTATATTTTTAGTATAATTTTAAATTATCCAAAATTTATCTTGACTTTAAAAAAGTTAAAAATAATAAAAAAACAATATATTTATGTTCACCTTAAGGGTTAAGTAATTAAGTTAAGCACGAGGTAGACCGTAGACTAGATAAATTCCCGGTTCGGTTCATATAGACCGGTTCAACTCAACCCAAAATCTCCGGTTCAGTTACTGGTTATTCGGGTTTGTCTTTTCACTTTTTCTTCGTTCTTCTTCTTTCTCTTCTTATCTCATTTTCACATATAAACTTTCTCTCTCTCGTTCTTTCTTCACACCGATCCGAGTCGAACGAGTCAAATTCACCTCCCAACTCGAACGAGTCAAATTCACCTCCCAACTCGTTCTGCTACCTTGAATCAACGATTCATCTGTAAGTTTTCGATTCCGTTTCCATTGATGCTTCTATCGCCATAGTTGAAGCTATTCTTAGTTGTGCTGCAATTAGGGTTTTATTCATTCCCTTTTACTATGAACGATTCTGATTATTGTTATTTTTCGTTTTTTAGGTTTGTATTTTAGGGTTTTGAGCTCTGTTTTGTTTTGATTTGGTGAAGAAGGGAAGTTTAAGTAGGGTTAGGGTTTTTGTTTTGAGTATTGGTTTTTAGGTTTAGAGGATAATGTGTATACTGTGTGTGATTCAGAAGTGTTCTCGCCGGGTTGCTACAATGTTACCTTGGTTGGTTATTCCTTTGATTGGTTTATGGGCGCTTTCTCAGCTTCTGCCACCTGCTTTTAGGTTTGAGATTACTTCACCTAGGCTGGCTTGTGTTTTTGTGTTGTTGGTTACTTTGTTTTGGTATGAGATTTTGATGCCTCAGTTGTCGGCTTGGCGGGTGAGGAGGAATGCTAGGATTAGGGAGAGGAAGAGGTTTGAGGCTATAGAGTTGCAGAAACTGAGGAAGACTGCAACGAGGAGGTGTCGGAATTGTTTGAATCCGTATAGGGATCAGAACCCTGGTGGGAGTCGGTTTATGTGTTCGTTTTGTGGGCATGTTTCTAAGAGACCGGTTTTGGACTTGCCTGGGTTGCAAGAGTTGGGGATTTCGAATTCTGATGTTGTTAAGGATTTGGTTGGGAAACGTGGGAAGATGTTGAATAATAAGGTTTGGTCTGAAAATGGGTGGATGTGTAGTCAGGATTGGTTGGAGAATGGGAATTGGGTTGGTGGTACGGTTTTAGGTAATCCTATCAACTGGAGAATGAATGGGAATGGAAGTATTTATGGAGGGGATGAGCATTGTTTGACAGCTAGGTCGTATTCTGGTATTTTGGTTTTTGTTTGCAGGCTTTTGGCATCCTTTTTCTTGACCATTAGGTGGCTTTGGAGAAAGATATTTAGAATTGGTTCAAGGGAAGACCGTTTATCTGATGCTGAACGCAGGGCACTCTTGGCAAAAAGGGGTGAGAATGGGGAAAACCTGAATGAAAGTAGAGGAGAAAGAGCACGCAGGAAAGCTGAGGAGAAAAGACAGGCTAGGATAGAGAAAGAACTTTTGGAGGAAGAAGAGAGAAAACAGAGAGAGGAGGTTGCAAAGTTAGTTGAGGAGCGTAGGAGGCTGAGAGATGAGACAATGGAAGCTGAAAAAGATAGCAGCAAATTATCTCATACCAGTAAGGACAAAGACCAAAGGAAGGAAGCTGAAAAGAAGCGTCAGGAAAGAAGAAAAGAGAAAGATAGAGGGTCTAGTAAGAGCAATTCTGATGTAGAAGAGATGGAAAAAAGAGCTACCAAAGAAAGTGAGCGAAAGAAGGACTTCGACAAAAAGAGTGACAAAGGACAGAATACAGATACTGTACATAGTAAAGTATTTGTTGCAAACAATTATAACCGAGGAAGTACTGGGACAAGGTACTTTGATCGCATGCGTGGTACAATTTTGTCTTCTTCAAAAGCACTTGGTTTTGGAAAGGGTGCCAGTATTCCTGCCACTGTGGTGAAAGAAAGCAAGTCTAACAATTCTGTTGATCATGCTCATACTTCTGTCAGCAGGAGAGATGTATTTCCTCCCGGTCCAACTACTAAATCCAATTTAAAAGGAGACGATAAGATTATCAACCATTCTGTAAGTTATCATGCTCACAATCTCATTTTCTATGCCTTTTTATAATACTGTTTTCTGGATTTTCTGAAGGTTGATTCATATAGCATTACTAACTTCCTAGTCAAAGATTTAATTTAAATTAGTTGGTGGATTTTACAGACTATTGTTATTACCTGGGTTTTTTATGTGGAGCATTTTGAGCAGTCAATCTTTGAGATTTATGAAAACTAAATGGTGCTCTGTTTAGTTTTAGTTTCTTGTCACCTGTGATACCACCTAGGCAGCATATCACAATTGAGAATTACATGACATGATAACTATCCTTGCAGGTTATCCCAGAACAACAGCCATGGACTGCACCAAAAAAGTCATGGCAGCAATTATTTACTCGTTCCTCAGCTGTTCCTAAATCTTCAAATTCAAATGTAATATGTAGACCAAATTCCAAAGTTCAAGTTGAAGTTGAAGCCAAAAGCCCTCAGTTCTCTGGCCAGTCACCAGTAGCACAATCATTTAACAATCCAATTCAGTTTGGTCTTCCATCACCATTTAATATTTCTACTCATCTTAATGGTTCAACTAGTAGTAGTCTAGGTCTCTCTCCTGCAACTGAACCTGTATTCTCTCCTGTTGTAAATACATCACATGACTTTAGGCATGAAGAGCAAGAGCTTTTTGAAGACCCCTGTTATGATCCAGTTCCATTATCTTTGCTTGGTCCTGTTTCTGAGTCACTTGAGAATTTTCAGTTGGATTTAGGAAGTGGTTTTATGAAAGACAAAGAAGTAATAAAACCCCGTGCTTTAAGAAATACATCTGGTACTGACCTCAACAAGCCATCTCCAATCGAGTCCCCATTGACCCGAGAAAAGAAAAACGGTTCTAATAGATTTACTAGTGTCCCCCAGTCCCAAGACACACATCCATTTCCTTTGGATGATGCAGCTGCAATTGAGAAGGGGACATGGCAGATGTGGACTAGTTCACCTCTTGTTCAGGAAGGTTTAGGTTTTGTTGGTGGCCCCGAAAGTTGGCTTTTATCCTCACAAAGGAACGTACCAACCAATGGTGATTTTATGCTTCCAGCATGTCAGAAGACCATGCCTTCTATTTTTAACAGAGACGATAACATGATTTCCAGTGGCTATCCTGCACAGAATGTTTTTCTTCCTAATGGTAATAATAATGGCGGGACCTTCAGCCCTGTTGCGGTTTCAAGTGGTTATGATCCTTGGTTACAAAATGGTCTGTTTCCACCTTTATCTGGCAGCCTTAAAACTCATGAGAGTGCTCAGAATGAAAGGATATATGGGAGTCCAAGTGGATCTACTATCAGCAATGTGCTCGAGTGTTCTCCAGCTAACAGTTGGTCCAAGTGAGTAAATAACTATTTGACCTAATTTTTCCTGTTACTGTTTGTGGCTAATTTAATATGCCTCTTGTTTATGGTTCTAGCATGCCGTTGGAATATTTAAACTGTTATCGTATGTGCTTTGTTTAAACTTTAACGTCATTATGGTTAGTAGACTGTTTCTCAAGCTATGGGTTGCTAGAGCTTAGTTAATCAAACTCGATCAATCAAAATGTAATTTTAAGAGGCTGAACTCACTATCAGAGCAGTGCATATTGCCCTAGCCTCTAGGGCATTTTTGAACGGACTAATTAAATCATTTTAATCTTTCCTTTGAGAAAGCAGGCTTATAAACACATGGTGAAATTAAATGAATGTTGGCAAGTAGGAAGTTTACTAATCGTTTACTGTTTGACTACTTGCATAGTCTAATAATCATGCTAGGAGGAGGGCTGCTTATCTAAGAGTAAAACATGATATAGCAATTTGTGTGTTCCATTAACCGCCTGAATGTTATGAGAGAAGAATCCGGAGTAGGAAATTGAACCAGAAATAGAGTTGAAGTAAATTGAAACTGTTGCTTTCTATGCGGACTTATAGAATCACGGCTTATATTAAGCTTTCCCTATATTTGCATTGTCCACAAACCCCTCATATATTGATGCATATATTAAATGTAATTTAACCAGTTTAATGGAAATAGAAACCTATGTGGTGTTATGTACGATTGTCCACAAAACCCACATATATTGATGCATACATTAAATGTAATTTAACCGGTTTAATGGAAATAGAAACCTATGTGATGTTATGTACGATATGATTAGATTTATAAAATATAGGCAGAAAAATTATAGGATTCAGCTGCTAATGACTTTCGCTACGCTGTTTCTTCTTGTAAAATTGGATTTAGTTAGAAATTAAAAGATTGTGTTTTGTGTGGACACGTCCCTACCATCATATGCTCTCATTTAATTATGAAATAAAATGCTTGGGTATGTACTGCATTTGGGATGGTACAGTTTTTTGATCTTCTGTTTTTCCATCGATTGAGTCATGAAATGGTATATTACTATGTAGTCAGTTTTATTGTCCTTCTAAAATAGAGCTTTGTTTCTAAATATAGCTTTGTAGTTAAACACCACCAGCAGAATAGTCATGAACTGCTGACTTGTTGAAACCGGATAGACAAAAGAAAAAAAAATTGAATTGAACTTACGTGTCTTGCAAATTGCAAGGTCTTCTTCTGGCTTTTTGTGTGACAATGTTAACTTCTTTTAACTTTATGTTCTTGCTCTAAGATATCCGATTATATGTTAATAAAAACTGTTTATACTCATGCTTTGACTAGTTGATTAACAACTTGTGATATCTGTTTCTGTGCAGAAATGAATGGCATGCACGTGGTTGTGTGGAAAGCATAGGAAAACCATCTGCTGCAAGGGCTCATATCGGTAGTCCGCATTATCCAACATCAGATGTACATTCATTTTGGTCATATGATTAGAAAGATGATAGTGACAGGGTAAGAGGGACTTTAGAACAGTTCTCAAGGTCAATTCCTTTTTTTAGGGGTGGAGGAGTTTAGAATACTGAACACATTGTATCTTCCTTTCTTGTTTATGATGGAAGATTGATGTTTACTTAAGGTTAGAATGGATAGGATTACATGCACGTTGGTGCATGGCTTTCTGAGGCAGGTAAAGGAAGTGTCCCCCTTTTTTTTTTAATATGAAATTGTTCTTTGAAGAATGGAAGTTCACATTCCCTCCCTTGTCACACTATCTTCAATTATGACATCTTAATGAGAAATAAGCTTATAGTAACATGATCAGCTTTCATATCAATTAAAATCGTAAGAGTCGTGCTATCTTAGATGAATTTCTGGATATTTTATCCATAATTATAAGTTTTTAATATAGAAATGATGATATAAGACTTTCAATATCAATCAAAATCATCAATATTTAAAATGGTGTATAACTCTATTTTTGTTAAAAAAGACAATTGTTTGATCTGTACTGTATAAAAAGATAATAAATCATAAAGTTTTTTTTACCATACTAAAGTTTAAATATGTGTACTGAGAAATTATTACCATATTATATTTTATAATAAATATTGAG